ACCTCAAGCAAATTAGAGGTCCCACTGAGGTGAGCTGAATAGAAAGGGCGAGCAAGAAATTGGATTTAGCTCCTGAAAACCATGATGTAACTGCTCCAGCGGCAGGAAGGCCAACTGCTCATTGGCTTTGAAACTGGCGTAGTGAAAAGTCTGTGATCTTAGAGTACAGACGTACTGGGGCCCTGTTTTAGGGGAAAATTTCTCTAGAGATTTTTTCCCCCTAAAACATTTCCATTTCCTTTGGGAGGCCTAGTCTTTAATAGGAGATTCTGGGAGGTGTAGACTTGGCATCTACACTGCAAACCGGCTTATTGGCTCCTGGCTGAATTCTCTCCAACAGGGATCTCCTGGTTTCTCAGATGGGGAAGCAAACGTGTGAGTGATTCTTCTGAGTGCTCAGGGTGACTGCAGAAAAGCCGCTCTGGGAGGGCCTTGTGCTAATAAGTCTGGTGTGAACTTGATTACCATTTAGATTACTTGTGCAATCAGCAAAGCGAAGCTTTGCAATCAGAGCTGGCGATAAGGGCTCCATGTGGACGAAAAAGAGCCCTTGCCCCATAAACAGCCAATCATGCCGGCAACCGACCGGGTGATCCTTGCTGCCTCCTGGTGACACTGCCAGCTGTCTGAATGTTGAGGCCACCTGTCCCTGTGTGTGTGTGTGTGCATGTGTGTTTTGCACACATGTGAGGTGAAGGTTATAATAAACACCTGCCTGTGTTTATAGAGATCAATGGGATGTCAACACTTGGCTTTCACTCAGCTGCTCCCCCAGAGCAGCCTCGGAAGCACCAAGATTTGGTAGCTGAGTGTTTGCTGACTTTGAAGCAGGCAAGGGCTTAAGCGTGTCTGGCTTTGCCAAGTGAAATTAGCAACAGGCCTGTAGTTTGGATATAATAATGAGCCAGACACAGAGACTCAGGGTTAAGAAAATAATAATAAAAAGAATTTTCCAGAAATACAGAAATGAGCAACTTACTTTAGTAATTTTATTTTTAAAATAATTCTTCTGTTTGAATGATAATGGGAAGTAAATACTACTCTAGTTCTTTCTCCTCCACATTAGTGAATTAGAATACACAAAGCTTCAAGGAAAATTCATGAAAGACCCATAAGTGGGCTGAAAGTTGTTCTCACCAGTCACTTTAATTTTATAAAGGCAGAATTTTCATTAAAAGGGAATTGATAGATGGGATTTCACTGTATGTTTGAAGAAAGCGCGTGCAGGTTGAGGTCCATCCCGTGAAACAAGGTCCCTAACGGGTCCTGCCGCGTGTGTCTTGAAGAACTCTCTCTTGCTGCAGGCAGGTCCCTGTGGTCCTGCTGCATTTCCACCTGGGCTCCCCTTCCCCCCAGCCCTCCTGCTGCTGTCCGGGGACCCCTCTCTTTCTCAAGACGCAGCGCGGCTGTCGCCTACTGTGCGGTCTTCCCAGCCCCGCCTCTTCCCTGGTGGACAGAGCATTCTCCCATGAGCCCTCTCCCTGTGCAGATGTTGGTCCTGGCACCTAAAGGTTCTCACCCTTTGAGCCCTTAGTCTTATTTGTGTCCCTACTGCAGAGCACCAAAGAAGTGAAAGGTTAACTGTCATCACATGAGTGGTGACTCAAACCCAAAGCCTGGGAGCCATCCTGACTCTTCTCTCCCAGCCCCGCACTCACTTTGTTCAGTGTGGAGTGCTGAGTCCTCCCACCGCTCGGCCTGTGCTGAGCACTGCCGTCTCTCATTTACCGCTGCAGCCACCTGGTCTGTCTCCCTGCTGCCATATTTGCATCCCCTCCACCCAGTTCGTGCTCTGAGCAGCCGCTAGAGTCATCTTTTAACAATATAAATCAGATCTCCCATTTAAAACCCCACGTGACTCTCCATCTCTCTTACTCTAAGGAAAACCCCTTAACAGGCCTGTAAAAGGCAACATGGGTGTTTCCCAATTCTGGTGCACATTAGAATCATCTGGAGATTCCGGTCCAGATTCCAATATTTACACATGGGAATCTGGTGAAACTCCCCAGGTGGTGGTACAGTGTGACCTGGGTGGAGGACCACTGCTGCCCTGCTCCTGCCCCTCTACCTGCCTGGCTTCACGTCATGCTCTCATGCCACCCTCCCTCCCTCACGCTGCATACACCATGGCTCTCACTCCTCCTGCCTGAGGAGGAGTTCATTGTTCCCTCTACCCAACCCCCTTCACCCAGATCCTCTGCTGGCTCTTGTCATTCCTGTCATGGTTTAACTATCTCCTCCCCGAGGGGCCTTCCTGACCGCCCAGGTCCCCCGACCTCATGGCCTGGTTTCCTTTTCTTCGGAGTACTTGCCTCATATTCTGTAGGTTGTTTGTTAGTTATTTGACTCCTCCCTCAACAAGTGAGTCTCATGGTGGCAGGATCTTATCTATTTTTTTCTTCTGAGCATCACCTGGCAACAGAGTAGTTGCTCATTAAAGGTAGAAGGATGGCGTATAAGAAAAAGGAATTTTGAATTGGTCTCATGGGAAATGAACTAGCACTTTCAGGGTTCCTGTCATGCAGATTCTGCAACCATGGGTTGGTGGCCAAGTTCTGAAGTGAAGAGCATGTGTGGCCGGAGCTGGGCTGATTCGGGCTGAAACCCAGCTCTGCCACTCACTCGTTCAATGTGTGCACCTGAGCAGGAACCACTCAGCCCTTTGAACTTTGATTTCCCCAATCTGAAAATACGAAAAAATCATGAGTGTGTCATAGGGTTGGTATGAAGATCAAGGGAGACCATGTAAGGAAGCATCCTAAGCGCTGGCAGCATTATTACCGATAATAATGCCGCTTTGCTGCGCTGCTCCCTCCCCCTCCCTTTCCACTTCCTCCCCGAGACAGACCCTGGATAGTAGGTGCCTTCTTTGAGCTCTGGTGAGTCTGGGAGCCCTTAGCAACCACTTGCTTTGTTTCAAACAACCTCCTCCAGGCAGGAAGCACCTCCCTTTCTTCCTTTCGCTTTCCTCCTGGCCAGAAAGGCCCCACTAGTCACCAGACGGGCTTGCTGCTGTTACGAAAACTCAAAGTCAACGGCACCCAACATGCACACGCTTCCCCAAGGTGCGGGTGGTGCCCGGCAGTGGGGGAGGGCCCTTGTGGAGACAGACCTGTCTGTTTTGCACCTCACAGGGGCTGCTGGGCCCAGACTTGAAACTTCTGCTGAGACACAGCAGGCCAAAGAGAGTTCAGAAAACAAAACAGTGGAGGTGCCAAATAGCTCACATTTGCTTTTGTTTCCTCTTGGAAATGAAACCAAGGCTTCATTGTGGTATCAGGTGCTCTAAAGAAACAAACTCAAAAAAAAAAAACCCAAAACAAACAACTAATTTCTGAGATAGACCACATGCAACTGGATTGAGCTTATAAGAATGCAACAAACACAATTTTTATTCCCTTGGGACCCCATCTGCCTGCATTAGCCTCACCCTGACTTTGAGTAGCTCCTGAGGAATGCTAATCCAGACTTGAGCCAAGACCCTGACTGTCTTAAGGAGACTCCCCATTTCTTTGGGAATGCCGTTGGGATTTTCCCGAGGCCCCGGGCTCTGGCCTGGCCCTGTCTGTAGTGACAGCCAAGGGTGGGCACTGGGAGGTGTCTCAGCACATCACAGACTTCATGGTGATGTTGACTGCTCCTCATTCTTGTGGCCCGGTGCCTTTCCAAACACTGGGGACAATGTCCCTTAACTGGGAAAATTCTTCTGATTTCTTTCCCCTTTCTCCTATTTCTCCTTTGAATCTCGTCTTTGAAGTTAAGTAATGGTGCCATTTTTTTCTTTAATATCTCCACAGAATACAAGCTTAGCTGCTGTGTGCTTTCCGTATCGTAAATTGGTAGCCATGTTTGTTCTATTTCTCCAGAGGGAAATAATCCCTTAGTATCCTGTCTCTACCCCACCTTCTTGTATATTCCTGTAAAATTCTGCTTATTCTCAAGCCTGAGAAGTCTTTGGTGGCTCCACTGGAGTGTTAAGCAACGGGGACAGGCCCAGGTGGAGGAGATTAATAGAAATATGCCAGGTCTTTGCTGGGGATCCCAGGAGCCCACTTCAACTCTGCAATATGGAACAAGGATGCTGAGTTGCCTGTCTGCTTGTGCTGAATGAAGGTGGTGAGCTGGTTACTGTCCAGGTGTTCCAGAAAGTGTGGCAGCTGCTCAGACACACCTCCATGCAGTGAGCACCCCAGGAGCATTTTTGTGTGCCAGACTCTTGGCTAATCTATCTGGCTCAGAGCCTCATGGGAATTTCAGTTATTGTTAAAGGGTTTACGCTATTTTTTTAAACAAATACTATTTTTAAGATGTGCCATCTGTAAACATCGTTGTGATTAGTAATATATAATTATGTTGAAAAACATTCCAGACTCATAGTGATTTCTAGCCACAGTGCACTTTCTCAGGCACGGGACACTAGACGGGCTTTACTGTTAAGTTGTGATCCATCACATTTTCTGATGCTGGAAAGGGGCGATCCTTCCACTAGGACAGATGCAGAGGCTGAGCACCCCGATGGAGGCCCAGAGGTGAGAGCGCCTGCTCTCAATGCTCTAGTGAGAGCTGGGAGACTTCCTTGTCCTTGGAGGCACCAAAAACCTGGGGGGGGGGGTTGTGTGTGGGACAACTGCACACCCAGCACCAGGCACCCAGGTTGACACTGAAGCCCATTTTAGTGCCACCTGGCATTGCCCCCAGCAAACCCTGACTCTATTGCTGAATGGAGCCTGCAAAGCAGCCGCTGTCCATAAAGTACGTCAGATGCTAACCTGGTCCTTCATGCTCATATTGGACCACTGCCAAGACCAACCTGGTGGTTGTCGATTTCAATACAAGCGTTTATGGCATATGAGTGTCTACTGAGTCCGGCAGTATTCGTAACAGGCTGGGGCTTAGGTTAAGGGTCAGTGACGGAGTGTGAACTAAGTCTGCTGCAATGTTTCTCTAAAAACGTGCGACATCCATACCTTCTGAATTAATCCTCTTTCCATTTTTTCCAGATAACTTGTTCAAACCCAAAGAAAGGTACATTTCAGAGAAGGAGATGCACATGCGATCTAAAAGGTACTCGGTTATCTTGTGAGGTTGAAGAAAGCAGGGGAGGAGGGAGTCAGGATCCATGCGCTGTACAACAGGGCCACTATTTCTGGGTCCATGTTTAAGGTCTGAGATCTTCTTGGCCGTGAATTTGAAAAGTTGGCTAAAAGAAGTGCAGTTGTTGAATTGTGCCCCTGAACATTAATGCCATTCTTGGAAAAACCTTAGGAAAGTGGTGGGTCTTGGATTCTGAACCAATCCAGTAATTGGTCTCTAAGAGATCCCTGGACTCATAATGGGGACACTTCTGCACATTCTCATCATCGCCCTGGGCAGGTGCTGTTTGTCACTGTGCGCCTTTGAAAGTAATTTTATGAGGATGAGAGAAGCTGCTTCTCCTGAGGGCCTCCACAGTGGCAGGGCCTGCAGGAAAGACCCAAATTTGGAAGCCAATGGCATGTAGTAGCCAGCGAGGCCACACAGGGCCACGGGCCAGCCTTCCTGGCACTCCATCCCCAGTGGGCTTGGCGGCCCTGTGGCCAGCAAACTCGACCTGTTCTCCTGGGCTGGTTGCTATTCTAGACGCCCTCTAATTCTCACCAACCTGATGCCCACCAAGGCTGCCATTCTTTCTGAGACCTGGCCTCCTAACCAAAATGTAATAGCCCGATAGCGTTGGCCAAGTTTATGCTAGTGAAATGTCATTAGTTTTAAAAAAGTACCTAGCACTGGGAAGAATTATAATAATTGAACCCAATTGATAGTGCACTTAGAGAAACCACTGAAACAGGAAGAATGTGTTTCTCCCCACTCCAGGCACAAAATCTCTGCTTTTCCCGTGAGAGGTAATATTAGGTTGTTCTTGTGATAGTTAGCCAACTTTCATCATCTGTGGGAAACCTCTTCGTAAAAAAAAAAGCCAAAGTCACGAGAAGGGGGACCATCCCATTAACGACCTGATTCACAGCATTCTAACTGGGGCTTTTAAAGGGCCTCTGGGTTTTAAGACTTGCTGTTTCAGAAGTGCAAAGTTGCATATACCTCATGCCAAAAGCATTCCTTTCTCAATTTAACGAAAAGATTCAGCCAAATCTTCCCCTCCCAGTCCCTAAACCCACCACTGCTATTATGGAGCCACACAATTAAGATAATAGATCTCAAAGCAGCATTACAGAGAGCATTACCCTATTATTTTACAAAAGGGGACACTGAGGCTGGAGAGGACAAATGAGCTGGGTGAAGCTGCACCCACATGATTGGCTTCCCCAGCCAGAAGCCAGGTCTCCTGTGATGGAGTCAGTAACTGGGTTTTCACTCTGCTCTGTGGGCTGTGCCCTGGGGGGCTCTGACCCTGGCTCTCAGACCCCACTCACCTGCAGAATCACACCAGAGCTTTCTTTTCTTTTGTATTCTTTGTTATTAATTGTATTGTTAAATTAAATTCTTTTTTTCTTTTTTGAGGAAGATTAGCCCTGAGCTAACTGCTGCCGATCCTCCTCTTTTTTCTGAGGAAGACTGGCCCTGAGCTAACATCTGTGCCCATCTTCCTCTACTTTATATGTGGGACGCCTGCCACAGCATGGCACACCCGGGATCCAAACCGGAGAACCCCTGGCCGCCGAAGTGTGCACTTAACCGCTGTGCCACGGGGCCGGCCCCTAAATTAAATTTTCATTTAAAAAATTCCAACAATGGTGATAAAGCCAAAGTCCCTTGTAACCAACTGTCCGTCTTCCCACTGCACTGCCCAGCCCCGGTTCCATCTCCAGGGACACCCACAGTTATCAGCCTCCTGTGTGTCCTTCCAGGCCGTTTCTATCTGAAGTTTTATCTGAAACTCCCCATAGGATTCAGACAGTCAGCATCAGGAAGAGGGGTCTCGATGGATCTGAAGGGATTTCCACTGGGGAGCTTTGGGATAGTCAGCTTTCCTACTGATGCCTTACCATCTTCCCCCTGGTCCTTCCTAGAATAGCTCCTGGGTGTGGCAGCCATGTGTTCATTTATTCATTCAAACCATATCGATGTCCACAGTGTGCCAGGCACTGTGCTAGGCACAAGCATGTCCCGGGTTACTTTAGCTGCATGGTTGGGGGACAATGTTGCATAAAGTCACACAGACTGAGGTTTGAAACCCAGCCCACCCTTAGCCAGCTGAGGGACTTTACAAGGCTCCTGACCTTGCTGGGACCTCATATGCCAGCAGGACACTATAGGCCCCTTCCAACTGTCATGAGGATTAAATGAGAATATTTGTGTCAGATGATTAACCTAATGCCCAATAACCAAGATAATGTCGCCTGATTTAGTCGCCATCAATATTTTTATACTTTGTAATTATTATTTTAACAGTGGAACCTGTTAAACAAATTGTGTCTGGCTTTCAAACATGAGAGAAAATGAAAAAGAGATGTTTAGCCAAGTCCACATATATAGCAATTCAAAAGCTTGGGGTACAGTGACTCCACTGTGTCCATGATTCTAGCAGAAATGCTGTTTGGCATCAGTACATAAATAGTTTCTGTTAGGAGGTGGGAAAGAAGGATCCAGAAGAAGGATCCCTCAGGCCCTTGTAACTTGGAAGCTCCTAGTTTTATACCAGGACAAGAACATAATACTCATGGCTGAGATGTAGTTGGAAACAGCTGAATTAGGAATGCTATAGCTGAAGAGGTAAACACACACACAGTTATGTGTGTTATTCCAGTATAATTCTTGACACTTTCATTTATTTGCTGCTCCTCTTCTAATTCACAGGGAGGCAAAAACTGAGGGGCAAAAATGTATTTGGGGGCAAGTTTATGCTGAGAGTGGCGAAACAGTGGGGTTGGAATCTCATTTTACAAGCAAGTAGTTCACTAGCATAGAGAATGGAGGGACAAGAAAAGTGACTTCTAAATAAATAACCAGCCTCTCCAGCCGGGCCCTGGCTGGGGCTCGGCCTGGCGCCGTCCCTGCCCCACAGCCCCGTTCTGGAGACTGTCAGGGAAGCCCCTGGTCTGGGCGTCTCACAGATCAGGGACACGGCCACGTGCAGCCGATCTTGCCTTTGAAATGGAAGCGCCTGCTGACGAGACAGGACGCAGACCCACACCAGGCACACCTTGTCTTGCTACCATTCAAAATATTTTCTGAATCTGTTTCAGAATCTATAATAACTTGCCAGAAGTTAAAAAGAAAAAAGAAGAGCAAAAGAAAAGAGTGATCTTACAGAGCAACAGACTCCGTGCCGAAGTCTTCAAAAAGGTAACGGCCTGGCCGCCAGCAGGTGTGATGTGTGTGTGGCGCACAGATGCTGAGTCTGAACTTGACGTCTCTGTCTCCTACTTCCCTAGCAATTACTGGACCAGCTCCTTCAAAGGAACGCAGTCTAACCCAGGCTGCCCCGATGACCCACTGCCTGGACCCGGGATGACTTCAAATGCTGGATAAACCATTAAACTTAGTGTTCTCTTCACGACATGAAACATTTATTTTACTTTTTTTTCCATAAAGGAAAACATAGCTTCCTGAATTGCTGACCCAAACCAAGCAGAAACAACAACCCTCGAGGAAATGGGTCAGCAGACTGTTGTGGGGTGATCGACTCAACGTGACCCACTAAATGCAGTCTCTTCATTTTTTTACTTCAGATTTTATCTTTTGCTTCAGATTTTCCCCCCATACCATTTCCACCCAGGCAGAAGGGCCTCATACACTCTCGTGGGCTTAGATCCCTGGGGGTTAGTTTTTTTCATCAAATTTCTGGGACCCAGATCCATCACTTTTTAAAAACCAACCGCAACTTCTGCCAGTCCTGCAAACTCCAAACTTTGGGTCATCACATGGTATGTCTGAGAGTGCTCTGGATGCGTGCACCACGTAATTCCAGAAGCTGGCTTCGACAGTAAGTGGGTGCTCTGCCAGAGACTGGGGAGGTCTGTTTCTTCATGACCTGGGGTGGTCAGACAGCCCTCGCCACCCCCACACACACGCCAGCGCCTTTCTTCATTTAAGAGTCTATTTCCACAGAAGCTATGAGGGCAGAATTGGCTGAAAAAAATCATAGGTAACTCCAGTGTTTTTTCTGCAACCACACCCCCCCCCCCCCCCAAAAAGCTATGTTGCTAAAAATGACCTGATGGCTCCAACTCTGCCATTCGTTCTTCCAAACATTTACAATGTCCATTATTTATAAATGTGTATTTGGGGAGTTAAGAACAAGCTAGCTTTTACCAAAAATGGAAATAAATGCAATTATTTCAAGAATTAAAGTGTTTCTCTGCTACGTATTCTGTGCTGGGAACTGAGCAGCACTGTAGGTGACGCTCAATCAGACATGCTGCCAGGGCCCAGCGGGGCCTCTGAGCTGCTCCTCCGCCACCCTCTCACCACCCCGGAGCCCGGGTCAGCAGCCTTGTTCTTCCCAACGCCCTGGAAGAGAAGGTGTTCTCAGAGAGCTGGCATGAGAGAAGCAGGGGAACTGTTGAGAGCAAGGTTTAGGACCCCGACCACCCAAAACTCACTAGGAACCTCCCAGGAACAAGGAGGAAGTTTGGAGGATTAAGCAGGAGCCCTGGGGACACCTCTGACCCCATCCTGAGGTAGCCACCCTCCTTCCCTTTTCCCACTGCTGCCTACACCATACCTCTTTCTAGAATGCCTTTCCTCTACGTGTCTGCTGGAAAACTCTTTAAAAAAACTCAGCCCCTGGGCTCTTGTCTGATGCCTTCCCTGCCCTGCACTCCAGTGCAAATTGGCACTTCAGCATTTGCACATTTTGTGGGGACCTGTGCCATCTTGCCCACATGAGACGATCGAACAACACTATCAAGGGCAGAGAGTGGGATTCACATCCAGGCTGTACTGCTCCCTGGTCTCTGCCCTTAGGCAAGGGTATCTGGCCGGATCGTATCGGAGAGAGAAACCACACAGTGAGCTGAGCAGGGCAGCTTAAAGTATATAATTATTAACCATAACAGAGGATAGCAGTACTGAGGGATTGGCTAGTGATGGGCACAGAGAATTCAAAAGAAGACAGTAGGAATAGCGGATAAAAAAAGACAGTGTTAGCCCAGAAAGAGTATCTTTTCTACCCCTGGGCTGTGACATAGATATTGTTGGCAAGGGGATGGTTGTGGCTGGCAGGTGACAGAGAAGTTTCTGTGGTGCCATGCCAATGCAACCTGTTCAAAATGTGCCCTCTAGAACTTGCCAGAGATCCACTCTCTAGGATGCATGGGGAGCTGTCTCGTCGGAGGCACTCTGCTACAGTACCACCCAAGGGAGGGTCTGGGGGGGGGCGGGGGGAAGCAGCCGGCCACCGCGTGTCACCAGCTTCATGTTGCAGTAAACCACTGAGCGAGTTGCTCCAGGTCCAGGAAGCGACACCCTGTTTCTCCGGCAGTGTCTCTCCAGCAACTTCTACTGACAAAGCTTCCCACTGTGCCCGTGGGCAGAGGGGAAACATTTAAAGGGCCCGGATCCATTTTAACAGAGCAGGCAAAAAGGGTGAATTTGGAGATAGGAAATAATAAAACCCAAAACTGGCACAGCAGGTTATTCATCTTTGCCTCAGTTTCCTCATCTACACAATGGAGATCATGATAGTGCCTCCTCCAGAGGGTTGTTATGGAAATAGAATAAGTCGGTGTGAGTTGGGTGCTTAGAAGAGTGTCTGGCTCAAGCAAATACAACACGAATGTTTCATGTCGTACGTCTGCAGATGTGGAGGCTGGAGTGTCCTGAGCAGCCCTTGAGCACAGCGGCTGTGAATTGTTCATTCTCATAATCCCTCAGTTTGGCTCTGAGAAAATGCCCCCAAAAGACTGTTGAAGTTGTGGGTGTTGCTACAGCAAAAATCAGTCATGCAAACGAGATGCTTCACCAACTTATTTTGTTTCCTCTCAAGCTCTTCTTTCTCTTAGAAACAATTTCAACAGCACAGTTAAGCTTACCCTTAAGGTTAATTCCAGCTTTCTTAAACTTTTTAGTCCTCTTCTGGGATGCTACACCGAATTTCTATTTATATTTTTTAATGTGTTTTTTTTAAAAAAAAACATTTTTAATCAAATCTATGATATTAATTCAGGACAATCTTCCTTCCATACCTTTTTCTTGTTTTTCTTTAATATCTTCAGAGAGTTTCCAAAGCTTTTCCTAACCAATAATTTAAGTTCAGGGCCCAGCCACTTCTAGACTGTTCTGTGACACTTTCCAAGAAGGAGATTTATGTCAGCTAACATGTGAATATCTCAGAATGCCTGGATGGAGCCAACTTTCAGAAGTGCCCATGAAGAGTGTAGCCCTTTGCAAATCTTGATGCCAGGTCTTAAAATCTAAATAATAAGTAAAAGTCAACTTGAGATGATTAAATATCACTGAATAATGTATTTCTGTGCACAGTTCTCACCTAAAAACTGGGGGCGGAGTCCTGGGTAGGAATATGTGAGATCTAGCTTGAGCTCGTCTTCCCTCTGGATACCAGCTAATGATAAGGCTGCAAATGAAAGTTTCAGTTTCTGCTTCCCTATTGTAGTTGTTGTTTGTTTTTTTCATGTTGATGACTGAATTTCAGGTACACAGCATTTCTTTTCTGTTATAATAAGGTTGTAACAGGAATGTAATAATGTTATAACAAGTATGGAAATAAAGGCTTGAATCATAACAGCCATCCCTTATATTTCTCTCAGGAATTGGTCACCTGTCTGTTGGATCCTCTTATTAAAATCAGAGTTCAGGAAAGACTGAGAATTTTGAAATTCTAAGTAGAATTTACCGCGGTAACTTCGATAATTCAATTCCGTTCTGGAGCTGACTTTTTTACAGCTGAGTGTGTCTGGGTTCGGGCATGGAACAGTTCTTCAGCAAGGCGGCAGGTAGCAGAAGTTAGAGATTTATAGCTGGTATTTGTGGGCTTGGACCGAGCAACGTTCGGAATAATTTGAGATGGACAGGCGGTAACGGCACCATGACTTCATGTCGAAGGAGACGTTCCTCCTTTGGTTATTTGTCCCCTCTGCCAGCTGGTAATGGAATAATGGAAAAACAATTGCCTTGGTTTTTTTAGCCAGCGTCTATTGCCAACCAAACTTCCTGGAAGCTGTGTGCTCCCTGAGTGAGTCAGCAAATGCTTGCTCAGATGATACAAGGCTCTTTGAAAGAACTATTTGTGAAACAACCAATTGTCGAAGAGCGGTTGAAAATCTTATTCCTTAAGAAGTTCTCCCATTTCAACACTTGTTGGTGTAAAACTCGCAGGCCCATGGAGCTGTTCTCCGACTGTATCAAATGACCAACAGTCTGAGAATGAGGCGGATCAGATGCAGAACAACGAGAGAGGGGAAGTGCTTGATGTCGCTGCTCCAGAGCAGGATGTCTGACCGTGGGGACGTGAGAGTACTGGGCTAAGAAGTAAGAATGCAATAGAGAAATGATTCACTGTGGCTTTGTGTGCATGTGCTGGCGTGTGCATTAAAAGCAAAGGAAATGATCTGTGAAGTGATTAAAATGAGTCTGTCAGCAGATGGTTCTACCTTACCGAGTTCGTCGTATCTGTACTTGCATCAATACTTGATAATTACCCACGAATGTCTAGCTAAATGGAAACCTTTTGGAATTGGCTGTCATTGAGCTGAACCAGCCCACACCAAGGACTGAGACCTTTTGGAAATCACCCCAGCCTTCTCTTGTCTGTCCCACGCTGACAGGACATCTCCCCACCTATCGGGAGAGTAGGCTGTCAGAAAATTCCGTGAGATTCCACCGGCCCCCCTTTCCAACGCTCCCCCGCCGCCCCCCCCACCCCCCCGCCCCAGCAGTCGGGCTGCTCGTCTGGAAGTGGTGGACTCCTTCACGCAAATGTTTTCTCCACATGGAACGTAGCAACAACTTTGGCAATTCTCCCCTGGAACGGAGGGTTTTTTTCAAGTCTTGTCGGCTGCCTCAGGCACAGTTCTGATCCTGAGACCCCAAGAGACTGTCTGAGGTAGTTGTCTGGGGTGGTGGTGGGGGGGGGGGGGGTTGAAATCCTTCCATTTTTTTCTGGCTTTGCTAAGAAGGTTTTCACATTCACATTCTGAATGCTGCTGTTACCTGCCAGGCTGCAGCCGGAAACAGGACTTCAAGCAGTGGCCCTTCTCTCAGATCTCAGCGCATCAGGAACTTGAAGAGGGGGGAGGGGGAGGGAGAGGCATCGCTTGCCACTAGGATCTTCAAAAATGCTGGGTTATTCTCGTCAAAGCTTAAAAGAGAAGAGAGAGAAGTTTATGGTCTAAATTGCCGCTGAGAAAAAAACGGATGAATTTCTTTAAATCTTTTTTATGAAACAGCACCAAGAGTGAAAGACATAAGAAAAGTGTCCTGTTGATGACTTTCAGAGCATTCTTCCTTTGTTTAAATAGCTTTGCTTTCCTGACATGCCTGAAATGGGGCAACAGCTGTAACTGACATCAGGGAAAAGATATTACAACCGTCAGCCATGTTAACTACACAAGACGTGTAATATCCTTTCATCAAAGCCAACGAGGCCGCCTGCTTTACTTGCCCACTGATGTCAGTGAGGGGGAAATCATAAATCTTTTCACTGCTGCCGATTTATAAAGAAATAAACCCACACTATGTGTTATATCCACTGTGGTTCCTCATGACTGATGTTATTACACGGATACCAAAGGAATGACTGATGACGATCCACTTAACGCTTACGTGTTGCCAAATATGTGTTTAACATTAAAAGCTATTGAGTGCACATACAGAACTTTTGTGTTTGTTTTTTTGTTTAAAAATATACCTGGAGGCTGCTGAGGCCGGATTTAATTATTGTATGCTGACATAATTATAATTCTAAGTCTTGCTCTCTCAGCTGAAATGTTTGCTAAATCAGAATAACAAAATAATTCAGGATATTTTTCTGGGTGTTTGGTAGCCCGTGACATTTCATTAGCAGGGCTAAGCCTACAACTGATAACAACAATTTTTGCATGGATTAAACTAGGGTGTGTGGACATCAATATTTCTACACGGTGAAATTGATTCTGATCGGTGAAATATGTTTTTGTTGAAGCATTTGTTTCAGATTGGGGCATTGCAATTCTAATTCTCAATTAGCGATTGAGCAAGATTGCCCCACCCCACAGCCACCCAACACATGAAGGGGTTTCTGATTGGTTTCTGAACAGAAGAGGAGAGCCAGAAAGAAAACTGCTGAACGCAGGACCCAGTTCAAAAGTTTCAAAAAATAATACAATCGTGTGTCACTTAATGACAGG